TAAATGATGAGTACAATAACAGGCTAATTTGCTGACAAAGTATTTTATCAGGAAAAAAAGTTATTAACAATTTAATAGTGAAAAAAATTTTTTTTAGTAATTTTCTTTAAATAACTCAGCGGGATGACTTTGTACGAAAAAATGCTTAGGATATGATTTTGTTCGCAATAAAAATAGCTACAAAATGGCGGTGGTCCGATTACGAAATTTGCAATAACAAAGCCGTGAGATTGAAAAAACGGTAGAAAACGCCAATTTTTTTAAGTTGCTGTAAAAATGTCAAATATAAACAAAAAGTGATACAACTTTCGAAAACTATAGTTCAATATGTATACAATAATGACGCTAAAGCCGAAAATCAGGAGAGCAAAACTTTTTGTTCTATAAGGTGTTATTATACATTCATCGGCATCTGAAACTCGGAAATTTGCCAAATTTGTTCGAAGCTTTGCTGACACTTGAAATTTGGTACACACATAGAGTAAATATGCAGAAACCAAAAGCAATTTGCAAAATTCAAGTATCTTCATTTTTGCAGTTTTGGTAAGGTTTTATACGTCATCCTAGTTTTATACATCACCGTTTTTTTAATTTGTGGACGTATATTTATGTATATTTATAAAATATTCCATTACGGTAGATTAGCCAGCATAATTACCTACAATTTAAAAAAATATATATTTTCATCGTTTAGATCCTAAGCTACTTAACATTTTGCGCCTGTTAGCCGTAGTCGTACATTATTCAACATATTAACATAAAACAAAATCGTACGTGTGGGGTAAACCTTTAACTTTAATTAAACAATTGTTTAAATTTACTGTTGCATATTTCTAATAGTATACAAGCGCCGAAGAGCGGAGCTCGCGCTCGAAAATGAAAAGCTCTGCAGGTACTCGTTCCAAGGAATTTTTTAATAAAATTTTCAGTCACTTAATTTAAACGTCGTATTATTTCGCGCTACATCTCCTTTTACCTGCGCCCAGACTAATTCGATTGGGTTAAGTTCACATTGATAAGGTGGTAACCGTAGTACTGTTATTTGGCGATTTGTTGCCATTTCATCAATAACATATTTTTTCTGATCTTTATTAAGATTGACAAGTGTCAAAAGTTCCTTTTTCACCATATTTGTTTCAAAAGAAATGTTTTTTCCGGATAACCATTGAATTATATCGGCTTTCCTTCAAACAGTCGTAGGCGTCCGCTCGGTCTGCCGTGAATGGTAACTGGCATTATCCATGACAATTACAGATCACGGAGGAATAAGATCCAACGTCTGTGTAAAATACTCTTCGAAAACATCTGCGTTCATGTCTTCGTGATAGTCACCTGTATTTTTAGATTCAAATAAAAGTAAACCGCCATCTACAAAACCACTGGCACTACCTATATGTGTCACTATTAATCTTTGCCCTTTACCTGAAGGTGCCTTGAACCCTGTTGAAAGTCCATCCAAAAATGCTTGTCGAAAACTTTTTACATTTTTATCTTGCCATACTTTTGTTACAGTATATCCCTCGTTGACCCAAGTTTCGTCCAGATAATAAATATTCCTCCCTTCGTCACGGAATTTTCTAATTGATCTTAAGTAGGATCTTCGCCAACAAATAATTTCATCTTTATCGATAAGAACTGACTTCCTGTTCTGCTTTTCCCAGCAAAAATTCAACTCTCGTAAGACAGCCCATAATTTGCTTCTACTGATTTTTGGCAAATCGTTGTCCTCTGAAAGTTCACTTACAATTTTGTTTAGCGTTGGTATTACTTTTTTAAAATAAAATGAGTGTACTTTGCTGCGAATGACATTTTTGAAGAAATCATCTATAACGACTTTTGACCTCCCTGTAGATGATTTTGGGGGATTTACAGTATCTTGTTCGTTTTTTGTTTCCTTTAAAAGTCTGTAGATAGTCGATTTTCCAATCCCTGTCATTTTGGAATACTTTTCCACGATGTCGTCAACACTGTTGGTAGGATTTTAGTGTTTCAATGCTTTAAATACATTTAATATAATAATCTTCTCATTCTGAGACAGCGCACATCTTTTCACGCGTTTAGCAGGTACGTAATCTGATAAGCTCGACATTTTACCCAAACAATATTATATCCACTGGCACAATAGTCACTAAATACAAGTCGAATTTTACTCTACTGTAAAACTCTATCCAGTAAAATATACTAATGTACACCCATTACCTGTTAGCATTAGTGTTACCCGATAATTACCTGAAACGAAATATTACCACGCCCATGGCCGGTTCTTCTCTCGGGATTTTATTACTTTCTTTCATTTCCAAACAGACTATAAGAGAATGCACTCTTTATATATGAGGTTTGTTCAGAAAATAACCAAACTTAATTTTTTTAAACTTTATTATTAATTTTATACATTATTGGTCCTTGTCTCCTTCAAAGTACTCCCTTGCCCTATTCTCATACTTTTCCCAGTGGTATTTTGCCAATCTATTGTGACGGTTAAACTTCAATGTCGTAGACCTAAACCCAGCTTTCGTCCCCCGTTATGATCCTTTAATTAAATGTTTCATCGTCATTGCCGACAAACGTCCACAGGATTTTCTTAAAACGAGTAACAAATTTTGCTGCAACTCGATGCATGTTCAATTTTTCAGTCAAAACAGGGCATGACCCAATTCAGATGCTAACCTCTTCTGCTATTTTCTGACAGTCAATCGGCGATTTGCATGCACCAGATCTTTGACTTTCTGAATGCAGGAATCATCAGTTGAAGTCAAAAGTCTTCCTGGTCGAGGATCATCTTCAGTTGACTGACAATCACATTTAAATCGTGAAAACCGTTTGTAACAGCACGTACTACCCAGAGCATGATCTCCGTAAGTTTCTTTCAAAAGCTGAATCCATTCCGTGAACCTAAAGAAGGCATTGAAAACAAATATATTTTCAACTACAATTAATTTCATTAACTTTTTATACTCTTTTAATAGTTTATTTTTTTCAGAAATTTTGAAAAACAGGAACCCTGGGATGTATCTTATCAATGGAGAGAATCTCAATCCCAAGAAATTTTACAAAAAAACAGGTTACAACAAAACTTTTCTAAATCTGAAGACCTTGTAAATGTAGCTTATAGTAGAAACCCAGATGATGAAATCGTAAAACTTTCGAGCTCCAATGATGACGATGATGAAGAAACAGAAGACAACTCCAAACAATTAAAGGATATTCAGAATGAATCAGTCAAAGGCAATCAAACCCCAGAATCAACAGATCTAAAAAGCGATGACGAGAATATTGATGAGAATATTGAAACAGATGATTCAGTGGATACAGATGTCAATATAAGCAATGAAGTAATTGTAGGAAAAAGAGAAAGAGAAATTAAAGACGTTGGGGTAGAAAAACAAACAGCCCTAAATAATGGAAATGTTGAAATATTTGATACTGAATCAAACAGGTTAATATTTAGAGAAATAGATAAATCCGATGAAGCTAAATATATCGAGAACTCTAAACCCGCTAATAAGGATTTCGAATATATTAAACCTACTCCTAATAAAGATGAAAATATTGAAGGGCGAGATAATAAATCAGGGAAACCAATTTTTGAAGAAATAAAGCTAAGAAAAGTTAATAAATGCGACGAAGTTAAATATATAATAAACTCCAGGCCCGCTAATAAAGATTTCGATTATATTAAACCTACCCCAACATCTATAAAATCGAAATTACCTGTCGATCCCATTGCAGAGCTGCGGAATATTGTTCGAAAAGACAGTAACGTTAGTGACGATGACCCACCCTTTAACTTTCAAGGAATGCTAAGAAAGACAAATTTTAGAAGAGATTCTTTGAAAAATAACGCAGAAGTGTCCAGAAGGGATTCTTTGAGGAAGATAGTGGACTCACCAAGACGTGATTCTTTAAAAAATGCTATGAAAGCTGTACGAAGGTTTTCCCTTGGGAAAGAACCAGAAAATTATGCTGATGTTACCACCAATGGTACTGATGTAGAAGAACCCATCACATGTAAACCAGTTGAGCTTGAAATATTACCTGGATTATTCATTAATGGAATGGAAGTAGATCTATAAGTATGAGGATGATTATTTGAAATTAATTAAGAATTATTTATTTATGTATTAAATGTGTTGAAAAATATTTTTAATGTATCAAAATTATAATAATTATATTATATTAACAGCAATTACTTATTAAAATTATTGTAATACAAAGTTTTTTCATGTGATATAATTTCCATCAGAGTAAATAATAAATAATAGTAATAATACATATTTTCTATGGTACAGTAATACTATTGAAAGAAAGATCATTTGTCCAACAGTACTATGAAAAAAAAAATAGCTGAACATTTTAAAATTATTTGCACTATTACAGGTATCATAAAAAATGTTACAGAACAACTTATGTATTTTGATCTCAAGAGAATAACGTCAATAAGCTGATCACTATGATATGAGGTTTTCGCGGTTAACATTTTTTTTGTTAGACAAATGGTCATAATTTAGTGTGATCTCTGTAAGAGCTTAATTAAAAAGAATAAAATGACGTCACAATATTATCACCAGAATAATACTTCAAATAAAAATAGTTTTGGTCATTATTAGGTAAAGAAGCACGAAATCCTTTTTTGGTCGCAATATTTTCAAATCTTCTCAAAGTATGTTTTTATTACGCTTTTAAATGAACTAATATTTAGTATTGCAGCTTGTTTGGTTTTGTGGTAAATAAATTGAACTTAAAAATGGACTGTGTAGGTATTTGTTGACAATGTTACAGTATGACAAGTATGTCAGAAGCCTACTTTTTTTAGACGTTAACCCACAGCTAGATACTGTTATATTTTTCCTACATTTATCCACCTCTGAACAATTTAAATCTTAGGTTACTTCAAAAATGGTAATGCTGAATGAGCGCTGAGAAAAATATTTTCACCAATTGATAATGTATTTGATGCAATGAATCTCCAAAGAATCTAGATATAATTAACTCTTGGTGCATTGCTAATAATAGCCTGCCTCTGAATTCTACCAAATGTAATGTCATGACTTTTAGTCGACGATGTGATCAAATTCACTATGAGTGTACTCTGAATGAAAAAAGTGTTACTTTAAATTTTATGTTTGTATAGCTAAGTATCTTTCTGTATTTTTTTGTATTGTATTATAGCGTTTTAATATTATACGTCTGTTACCTGTTTGTTTTAGATATTATGTTTTATGGTATTTATTTTGTTTTAAGAATAATTTGTATCTCTTTCACCTATTTTTATTAGTTTCTTTTAGTTTGTAACCTTATCCTGTAACTGGGCATTGTCCGTTGGATATTGTACTAAAAAAAGCGCGATTCGGGAATGTTATTAAGCTGTTTGTAGAAAATAAATCCAAGAAGCCGCGGTTATACCTGAGAAGAATTTGCAAAGCTTACCCTCAAAAAAAAACAATTTTGCAATATTATTTCATATATTACTTTTTATTATTGAACTAGGATATAGATTTCAAAAACAGTTAATATTGAAATCCAATGAAATGATTAGGTTTAATTTCCAACCTTTATTTACAATTTATTATTATATTATTAATTGTTATCATATTATTGTTCACTGAACAGTGTGCAACATTAGTTTAAACTGTACCTACATCGCCGAAAACGGGGTTTGGCCACGTACGTAAAGAAATTTTTATCACTAATAATTTGCTCTAATTTATATATGACCTCTTAAAATATGTCTAAAAATATGAACTTTAGAGTTTACCTTTTCTATTTTTTGCAAATATCCTTTGAAAGTTTGTAAACACAGATTTTCAAGATACACTTTAGAGAGAATCTAGTAGCTATTAGTTTTCATTATTTTTCCATTCCTTCGTATTCCATTGTTGCGCTGTTCACGTTGATTGAGACCGATTATGCAAAAAAAAAGTAGAAAAACTAAAAATTTTAAAAACGTTTGGTCCACATCATTTTGAGCCACCTGATATTATTATTCATAACTTTATTCAGTAGCATTTTTATGCGCTGTAGAATATATTCACAATATATTATATTAGTTATTGTCATCCTCAGATAATTTCTTGATTGTATTCCCCTAAAGAAGAAATAACTGTAAATTTTGAATTCCCTCTTAATAATAATAATAATAATAATAATAATAATAATAATAATAATAATAAATCATTTATTTCCAACAGGTAAACACAATTACAGGAAATACATAGCAAATGAAAAATAATAATAAAGAACAGTTACACTTATAATCATAACAAAACCACTGAGTTTATTTTGACAAAATCTATTCTGTATAAGAGAAAAGTTGAAAAAAAAATAAATTTGATTAACTAGGTATATCTAGAATTGCTCGTTGTTGTAAACAACGTGTTTTATTGTATTTAGTGATGAAAAATTAATATCACAGTAATTACAGATTTTATTAAAATGATAACATGCATTATAAATAGGTGCTTTAAGTAAAATATTAGTTCTACGCCTATCACAGTAAAAAGTTTGGTTATATCTTGAACCAGCACGCGGAACTAAAAATTGTATCTTACTAAGGAGACTACTACAATTTACGTTATTATGTATCAATTATACAAAAATGATATAATTGACCATATCGGTCGCCGATCAAGAGAAATAGTATCAAATCTGTCCAATAATATTTGATTATCAATACCCCTGGCGGGATAGATGCAGTCTTCCTTAAAAGAAATGTATTTTAAAAACCGCCTCTGAACAGATTCTATACTATCAATGTGACACTGATAAATTGGGAACCAAATAAGTGATCCGTACTCATGCTTACTCCTAACCAAGGTATAATACAAAATTTTTAAGGTGCTAATATTTCTAAAATCTTTGCAGTTCCTTAATGTAAAACCTAAAGTCCTAATGGCATTACTAACTAAATGATTCACTTGAGTAACAAAGGTAAGATTACAGTCAAAGAAGATGCCTAAATCTTTTATGCAATCACTTCTTGAGATTGTCATATCATTAAGTGTATAATCATAATTATAAATTTGTTTTTTTTCCTGGAAAATGATACTACATAACATTTGTTTATATTTAACATTAAACGATTTGAATTACACCATTTGCCAATTAAGTTGGCTTGATTCTGTAAATATCTACAATTTTCCTCATTCTCAATACTTGTAAAAATGTTTAAATCATCTACAAAAAGAAGATTATTACAAGATATACTATTCGGTAAATCATTAACAAACAAGAGAAACAGTAAGGGCCCTAAATTCGAACCTTGTTAAACGCCAGAAGTAACTTTAAATTTTGACGAAGTGAAACCCTCACACTTAACAAACTGTTGTCTCTCTATTAGGTACGATTTAATAAAATTAACAAAATTATTTGATAACCCAATACTATCAAGTTTAGCAAGTAACACGTAGTGATCAACCTGGTCAAATGCTTTGCTAAAATCCATATATAACACATCAATTTGCCCTTGGTGATCAATATTCTCACATATGTATTGAGAAATGCATGCCAAGTTTGATACACAAGATCGTTTATTTACAAATCCATGTTGACTCTGGGAGAAAATATCTTTGGTATTAGCGTAAATATGATCATATTTCAAATAGTTTTGAAAAATTACATAAAATTGAAACAGGCCTATAATTAGATATTATAGATGGATCACCTTTTTTCAATACCGGACATATTCGTGCTACTTTCCACACATCTGGATATGTTACTGTAGATAAAGAGATATTGAATATAAATAGAAAAGGGACTACTAAGACCTGCCCACAGTCCGTCACAACAAAACTAGGTATAAAATCTGTACCAGATGTCTTTTTATTTCTAAGTTTTTTAAGGGCGTTGAAAAAATCCACCTCAGTAATTATTGGTATATTAATATTCTTGCTAAAACTGTGCGCCATGTTAAATGTTTCATAATTAAAATCAGGTGTCACATAAACACTACGAAAATAATCAGCAAATCCTTCAGCAATAGCTTGAGAATTATCATACTGAATATCATTGAATTTCATTACACCGGAATATTAGAATGCCCCTTCTTATTTTTTACAAATGACCAACATTTAGAGGAATCAGCTATAATGAGACGTTCAGAATTCTCCATAAAAGTTTTATATGCCTGTTCAATTTGAATTTTAACTGTACGCCGTAAATTACGGTATCTATTGAAATAATAATCAGTTTTAAACTTTTTATAATTTTTCAAAGCAGATTCTTTAGAACGAATATTTGTTATAATTTCTTTAGTAAACCAGGGTGGAAAACGACGACGAGGATTAATTTTTAATGGAACAGACTGATCAAAAATATTATTTAGTATATTATTATTATAATGTCAAGGTCATCGCTGTCTGGAGCCAAATTGGTACATGAAAACACCCACATTGTTGTTTTAATTTATCTTTGTTTTGGCATTAGAAATAACAACTTTTCGTATAACTGATCTGGCAAATTATGACTCCAGTTATTTTCTAATTCACTTAAATTAAAACTTGAATAGAAACTAATTTCTTTAATTATATTCTAAAATTAGATAGGCTCAATAAAAATTAAATTTGTTAATATTCGTTAATTTTGAAATTAAATAAGAAAAGTTCCATTTAATTGTTCCCCAACAACATAACTATTATAAATAATTATAATGTTTTCAATTCAGTGCATAAAAAAGTGTATACCTACCATATACATACTTAAAGAAATGCAGATAAATAAAACGAGGTTTATTTTAAAATTATATTACAAAAGTGTACTCATATAGAGTTACCTATATATCACAATACTTTGAAAAGTGTCATAAGTGCAACTATATAAATTACAAAAACACACCAGCACAACACAATAACTAAAAATAATTAATATTAATTTGAAGTATTATAGATATGATAAGATTACTTACACTTTCTTCCATTCAGACATTTTATCTCCTTCACTATATCTATGAATACATTGTTATTGTCATCGTAAAAATATTTAAACTCTATCATACATCTGTTCCTGTCTTCAACTTGACATAACTTATCGTTGTAATTTAATTCTATATCATCAATTAAATTATAATAAATATAGCATTGACTTTCGCCACTCAAATTTCGTAAAATGTATTCCACGCAGTGAAACAATTTTTGACATCTTTGCCCCTTGCAGTAGGGACATTCTTCACAGAATTTTCCAGAATATTCGTATAAAGATTCGGTATCATTTGCTTGAGATTTCAAGCTATCACAATTGCAAGTGCCACCCTCACAGTTCCCATGGCCAGAACAAAGTTTTTCAGAGCCAGGTTCTATACAGTCACTTTTCAAAACTGAAAAAAAAATTAATTACTTAAATACACCAAAGATAAAAACCTATGATAGGGATAATTTTAAACTCTTAAAAATGTCATATTGAAAAAAATAAATAATAAACAAAAAAAATACATTGAAAACTACAATAATTGAAAGAAAGAAAATTCTTACAAATAAATAATATCACGCAATCTCTTATTATCATCTTCACATATTTTTTAAGAAATGATACGCCAATGTGTAATTCGATTGGCAATCTGTACCTGTGAATCACTGTCTGAAATCGTGGTTCTGTTTTTCCGAATTCGTCATAGTACTTTTGGATGTATTTAAAATTAACAGCAATTCAATTGATCATAATTAAATCTAAAAAGGAAGTAGTAGAAAACAAACATCAAATAAACACTGAATGGTAAAATATAGCCATGCAAATATTTATTGAAGGAATAAGGACACAAAAAAATCTCTGATATCATCTAGGGATTACAAATGATAATTTTTTGTGGAACTTGGTCATCTTCCATTATGTTAAGCAAAGCAAAAATCCCAATCATCAGATTTTTTCACATATTCAGTTAAAAATAATGTTATATTGTCCTTAATCTTGATCGCAATTGTTCAGATTTTAAAAATTGTTGAGTTCCATCGAAAAAAAAACTGTTTCTCAGTCTAACCACAGACTAAATAGCCAACCAACGCAACACACCGCGCCTTAAATGCTGGAAATTGGCAATACAGACTTTTCTGCATCTTTATGCAGGCTCTTCTGAGCTGGCATCCAACAAAAAAATTTGACGTGGTAACTCTCTTCTAATCGCTAATAAGTAAGCTCTAGTGGTGTGGCACTGTTGCCAAGTAGTGGGCATGTATATAAACTTAATGCATTTAATTATGTAATTGTAGAGTTGTATGAAATTTATTTTTTATTTGGAAATGGCATTTGTGTTAAATGCTAAATATACCAAATCAAGTTAGAATTATGCTTCAAGACATGTCCATAAAATATTTGTATTAAGGTTAGTTATAAAAATATTTCAATAAGAAATTATTTAAAATTATTTACGATGTATTATTTTAAACGCGTATTTTATTCCAGCAAATCTAAGAAAAATGTAGATATTTAGTTTTATCACAGACAGATAGATCTTTGCAGGAAATTTAAAATTGTTAGAAACTTAAATATGGTAGGTATATAAAAAAAAGATATTTCTTATAAATGGGTAATATTCCACTTAAAAAAATATAAGTTGTATTTGTATTTCAAATTTTTAACGTTAGTTTCATAATTGTGTTAATATCAGAAGATAATACAGGAAAAATCTTACAAAATTCGTATTTGATTTTTTTTTCTATCTTTAATTTATTAAAGCTAGATGTAGATGGGTATCAAAATACAAATGAAAACCCTGTAACTACCTATGTTCCGCGACGTATTAATAATCCACCTTGTATATTAAATAAATTTATAAAAACTATGGCATCACCAAATATTAAAAAAATTATACATATTTCTAACGGTTTATAATATCATTATGAATTTGTTTATTTGGAAATATATTATCTACAGTATTTCAATACCAAAAAAATAGTAGCTAATTAATGAAACGCAAAAAAACTTGGAACCATGCACATTTGAAAATATAGTAAGAAGTATTGTATTTTATGACCTTTTTTATTCACTCTTTTACGATTTTTCTGCCATTCAGAAAACAGTATTATATTAATCCACTACATGTAAACAAATTTCCAAATTATTGTAATAAGAATAAGTTGTTACTTAGGTACTCAGTTTTTTATCCATTTTTTGTTAAGACCGTCATTTTGAGGAAATCTAAATATTTTTTATCCTTGTGTTGTTCTCCTACTTTGGAGACATAAACACATTTATTTCCAGACATTTTATTATTTTAATTATAACTCAGATGGTTACCTAGGAAGCTACGTATTATTCGAAATTCGTATTTAAAATTCTCGTGATTTAAATTCTGATTCAAACTGGAATAAGTTGTTACGCAGTTGTTTTATCCATTTTTTGTTAAGACCGTCATTTTGAGGAAATCTAAACATTTTTCTTCCTTGTGTTGTTCTCCTACTTTGGAGACAAACACATTTATTTCCAGACATTTTATTATTTTAATTATAACTCAAATATCTAAATAGGTTACCTAGGAAGCTATGCATTATACGAAATTCATATTTAAAATGAGTATTATACAAAATAAATTCGTGCGTCCACGTGACAATATTCCGAACAGGTGTTATACGATAAAATACGTTAAAATTATATCAACGTTACTGAGCTTGCGCATTGAAGATAATTTCATGTAAGCGAAGTAGTCTCGCAACAGGATATCATTCAAGAAAATTTGTTTATGGTTAAGAGTACGTCTATAATAAACCACTTGAAGAAATAAACACTCCATAAATACAGTGACAGTACCGCACCAAGAAAAACAATAAAAATACTTAAAATGACAAGATTAAAACAAAACATAAAATACGCTAATGATGACAGCGATGATATATCAACAAGATATCCACTGCGTATGAGGCTATTCTTCCCGAGAATGCGCTTTAGGTATAACACGGCTAATGTTAAATTTTTATTTTATTTAAATTTAGGAATATTCTTTTATATCGTTTTTTGTAATTTCGTGTATCTATTTTACGAGACACGTGTTGGTTGTTTTTAAATACTTCTGAATCCTTGAAGTTGTTCATTTTTATAGTATCTATGTAAATAGTGCACAAGGATCAGATTCGGTCTGTACAGACTGGTCCATTTTCGATGGGAATTCAGAGTATTTCAGAAACTATTAAAGATATGATAAATCTGACACGAAGTTTTCGAGCTCGATTTTCATGGCAAACTCGACTGTCAAATAGGAAATTTGCTATCTTCATTTGTTTCTGAGTTACAGGGCGTTTCCCATTACTGTCACATTTTTTAACATGACTGTATCTCAGTTGTTAGAGTTAAAGTGAAAACTGCTGAAGACTAATTCTTTAGCGTAGAATTGAATGCCGGTATTAGATTTTGAGTAGATCTTAAGATTTCGGAGTTATGACCCAAAGTTATATTTTTTTTATAAATGGAAATCGTAGCTGACCATGGCCTAAAAAAATAGAGATTTTTTTCGCTTTTTAGTAATATATCACATGCTATAGTTATTTTTACAAACACTGGAGATACGGAGTGTTTTATATATAAATTATATATTTTTTCCTTTTTAATATGACTGGCTATGAAAATACAGATAAAACTATAATTCTTTTTTTTACAAAAGTCATATCTGTTGTAAAAATATGACGTTTATTTTAAATGCACAACATATACTCGTGTGATCATATCATACTAACGAAATCTTAGGAGAAAAGTGAATAGGAACAAACGGACCGATCAGATGGCCAGCTAGGTTACCTGATTTGAGTCCGTTGGACTTTTTCCTTTGGGGTTTTCTAAAAGACATATTTAAAATTCCTTTTAATTGCTACCCGAAGCGTTGCCAGAAGATGCGTGAAATGTGTGACAGTTGAGGGACGGCAATTTGAACATTTAGTTATCATTTTTGTAAGTTTTTATTGATGTAGGTACTTACTATTGTTTAATTTACGTTTAATATTGTAACTTCAGTTGAAGTGGAATAAAAATTTGAAAACTGTCTTTTCTTATCTGTAATATATATTATAAATAAATGTCATATTTTTACAACAGATATGAGTTTTGTAAAAGTAAAAGAATTATAGTTTTGTATGTACTTTCATAGCCAGCCATATTAAAATGTAAAAAAGGATCGAATTTATATATAAAACACCCCGTATCTTCTGTGCTTGGAAAAATAACTATAGCATGTGATATATTGCTGAAAAGCAAAAAAAAATCTTTTTTTTAGGCCATGGTCAGCTACGGTTTCCATTTAAAAAAATATAACTTTGGTTCATAACTTCGAAATCTTAAGATCTACTAAAAATCTAATTAATACCGGCATTCAATTCTACGCTAAAGAATTAGTCTTGAGCAGTTTTCACTTTAACTCTAACTTATTTAACAGCTGAGATACAGACATGTTCAAAAGTGTCACAATAACGAGAAACGCACCGTAACTCAGAAACAAATGAAGATAGCAAATTTCTGATTTGACAGTCGAGTTTGCCATGAAAATCGAGCTCGAGAACGTGGTGTCAGATTTATCATATCTTTAGTGGTTTCTGAAATACCCTGAAATCCCACCGAAAATGGACCAGCCTGTACAATTTCAACTATGACATTTTGTTGCGGGTTGCCTAAATATGTGTCACACTGAAAGAGTCTATTCGGAAATTTAAAACCGCTGTCCTATTCCAGAGACGGTTTTTTCAGTTAACTATTTAGTCTGTGGTCTAACTAAAGTCGAGGCTTTGTAGCAGATAAGTAACTTTATAATTTTAATATACTTATTATTTGTTTTGTTTTTGTTTTATATAATATTTGTGGACAGAGTTTTTATAATTATTTATTCTTGAAATTTACCACCTTACAATTGCGTGTTCTGTTTTTTTTTATTTAATTATTTATTTCTGCTTAACTAAAAAGATAGTTTTTTTTTATAAATAACCCGTTGGATCAGAACCGTTAAAGTAAATAATTATTTTCGACTATATAGTAATCACTACAACACATGACAATTAAAGTTTAAAAAAAGTCAGTTTTTATTCTCAAAACTAGAATGAACTTAAACTTAAGCGTGAGTTTTATCTACCATCTATGGAGATGTGAGAATGTTATAATAAAATAAATAATCTAAAAAACAATGTCAAACAAATATGTACATACAATAGTTATCTGTCTGTTCACATCTATTTATAATTCCGATTTAAACTGTATGATTTCAGATAGCTCTAGTCCAGTGGAATGTAGGTATTTTGTGTAATTAAGTATTGGAATAATACACATAAATGATGCTGTTTGTAAAAATTTTAACAAAACAGTGTAATTTTCATAACCTACAAATTTATAAAAGGAAATTGTTTATAACAGAAGAAAATATTTAGAAATGTTTAGATGGTTTTGGAAAACATTACCGGTATGACATGACGTATAGTAAATATTCAGGTGTTATATTTGCAAACAAAGCAAATAACTAACTAAAACACCCCAGTGACTCAAGTTACAATAGACCTAAAAAAATTACAGAAATGACTCTATAGCAAGATAAGAGGAAAACAATAAACTTTGCGTTGAATTTTTTTTAAGTTGACAGTGTTTCTAAGAAAAGGATATCTATTTACAAATCTAAGGTGTATCTCAAAAGTTTTCGTCCCTATTATATTAGTAAACAACTAACGAGGTTAATTTATTTTTGTCTAACCACTCTAACCACAGAACTGATCAATTTTTATTTATTTTTATTTAGATACAGTATTTCTGTACATGTAAAACTAAGGAAACTCAAAATATAATAATATACTTTATTATTATTATTAATTATTACATTTATTAAATTTTATAGCAATTTGGATGTACACTTACTATTACTATAATTCCCATTTTCTAGATTCGCCTCTGAAGAGTTACTACTATTTTTGTCATTTGAACTGTCACTCATGTCGTTAAAATATAACTAAAACATATTGTGCATCAACTATACAAAACTTTTCATAATTTAACTTACAGTATAAGAGGTACTATTGTAACTGTTTAAAGATAACGACGACTGCATAAGTAGCGTAAATATTAATCTCGTACAAAATCGTTTATACATATTACACCGCACCACCACATTTTATTTGAGAGATGTAGTCACACTCATAGTAGGTATATATCAAGTAGGTTCTATGATAAGATCTATGAGATAAATTGAGGAATTCTGATAACATTAAATAAACGTCAGCAATAAGAAAACAATATTAATTTTATGGTTGGTAAAACCTATGAAATAGTAAATTCAGCCATTTATATAACGAATCAAATTGATCAGAATAAATATGTTATAAATCGTTTTTAATCATAATGACATGTACACCAGGAAAATTAGCGAAAATAAAAGAGAAACTCGAAAAAAGTCCTATCCGCTAGATTATTGTAAAATTGTCTAAATGAACATAATACAAGACGTCTCTCGTCTCGTGAGTCAAAAACATTTATTAGCTAACTCTTCTATTTAAACAAATAAGTGAGGAAAACAGTTTTTTCACTTTGCAGGAAAAACCATCAATTTTAGCGAAAAGTGACTCTCAGACAGCTTATAGGGAGTAAAATTATCTACAAAATGAGACTGGTTAAATTAAAATCGGTTAATAAACAAAAAAGTTATTGCAAAAAACAAGAAAAGTGCCCATTTTTTCATTTGTTTATAACTATCGCATTTATTGTTAAAATTTTATAAAACCTATGACAAGTTGAGGGTTTTGTCATACTTTAAAAGTGTGCCAAAAGTGGGCGCTGTAGGTGCAATAGTTTTCGCACAATTCTATTTGTTTATAGCGGAGGCTCCAAAAGTTATGAACTTTAAGCCTCTGTACAGGCGTTAATTTTCAACCAAACATGATTCTGAAAGCGTCATTGTAATCTTAAAGACGTAATTAAGCGACCTATTAAAAAATATCACCGTTTTTTTGACATTAACATTCTCAAATTGTGCATTAAAAAACCGTGCGTTTTTCGCTTATAAACAATTTGAATAACATTGTTGCTATTTATGCTATCTCACCGAAAATAGATGCAATGGATAGCTGGCAAAAAAATACAGTTTTAAAATAAAAAAAGTACCCTCTACGACCAACAGGAGCCAAGATAAGAATTTTTTTTTTAAATCGTAGCGCAATTGTTTATAAATATTAAGACTTGAATTTTTCGCAAAATAAAGTTTACGACGTAAACTACGATTTCCCGTGAATTGCATTGAAAAATGTGGAAAATTAACGACTCACGAGCCCTTTAAAGAGAAGGTACTCGCTAAGTAAACTGTCCGGCGGCCGGCGGCGTGGTGGTGGGGGAAGCTCGTCCAAGCGGTCGCGCGGGCGAGAAAAGTTAAATCCAAAGTTCAAATAAGTGCGCGCTGTAAATTTTGCAATATCTCGGCTTCTATTCATCGTAGAAACTTATTTTTTTTTAAACTGGGGTAGCTCGACGAAAAAATAACAATGGGCATATTTACGAATTCGTAGAATAGCCCTGAACCCCAGAAAAAATGCATCTTTTATAATTAATTTTTTTTAATTTACAAAAATGTCACAAAAATTATTGTTAAACGAAATATTAATTAAAATTTCAATTTCGGAATTATTTTACTATTATTAAATAAATAAATGAAGCTATCGTTCATTTAAAAAGTTATTTTTTTTACATATTAAGGCAAAGTAAACTTGTTTTTTCAATATTTTGTTAGCTATTTAATTACGATTTAAATGTAAAATTAAAGTAAAAATTCATAAATTATTTTCAAATTATTATTTCTCATAAAAATAGAAAAAATTTTAAATTTTAAATTGTATTATATTGCATTATTTATATCTATTATTGAAAATGGTTGTGATTAATATTTTTTGAATTAATGTTGATTATGTTTATAAAATTAGTAATAAATATAATAAAAAAACTTTATATATTAAAATTTCAGGAAGTTAAAATTGTAATTTTATCGACCGCGTTATTTTTAATATTTTTTAATTTTGAGAATTTTGCAATAAATTCAAATGCTTTTTATTCTTTTTTAAATCTTTTAACAATAAATAATAATTTGAAAATAATTTGTGAATTTTTACTTTAATTTTACATTTAAATCGTAATTAAATAGCTAACAAAATATTGAAAAAACAAGTTTACTTTACTTTTTAATATGTAAAAGAAATAACTTTTTAAATGAACGATAGCTTTATTTATTTATCTAATAATAGTAAAATAATTCCGAAATTGAAATTTTAATTAATATTTCTTTTAACAATAATTTTTTGACATTTTTGTAAATTAAAAAAAATTAATTATAAAAGATGCATTTCTTCTGGGGTTCAGGGCTATTCTACGAATTCGTAAATATGCCCATTGTTATTTTTTCGTCGAGCTACGCCAGTTTAAAAAAAAAATAAGTTTCTACGATGAATAGAAGCCGAGATATTGCAAAATTTACAGCGCGCACTCCCCCACCACCACGCCGCCGGCCGCCGGACAGTTTACTTAGCGAGTACCTTCTCTTTAAAGGGCTCGTGAGTCGTTAATTTTCCACATTTTTCAATGCAATTCACGAGAAATCGTAGTTTACGTCGTAAACTTTATCTTGGCTCCTGTTGGTCGTAGAGGGTACTTTTTATTTTAAAACTGTATTTTTAGCCAGCTATCCATTGCATCTATTTTCGGTGAGATAGCATAAATAGCAACAATGTTATTCAAATTGTTTATAAGCGAAAAACGCACGGTTTTTAATGCACAATTTGAGAATGTTAATGTCAAAAAAACGGTGATATTTTTTAATAGGTCGCTTAACTGCGTCTTTAAGATTACAATGACGCTTTCAGAATCATGTTTGATTGAAAATTAACGTCTGTACAGAGGCTTAAAGTTCATAACTTTTGGAGCCTCTGCTATAAACAAATAGAATTGTGCGAAAACTATTGCACCTACAGCGCCCACTTTTGGCACACTTTTAAAGTATGACAAAACCCTCAACTTGTCATAGGTTTTATAAAATTTTAACAATAAATGCGATAGTTATAAACAAATGAAAAAATGGGCACTTTTCTTGTCTTTTTGCAATAACTTTTTTGTTTATTAACCGATTTTAATTTAACCAGTCTCATTTTGTAGATAATTTTACTCCCTATAAGCTGTCTGGGAGTCACTTTTCGCTAAAATTGATGGTTTCCCCTGCAAAGTGAAAAAACTGTTTTTCTCACTTATTTGTTTAAATAGAAAAGTTAGCTAATAAAAGTTTTTGACTCACGAGACGAGAGATGTCTTGTATTATGTTCCTTTAGACAATTTTACAATAATCTAGCGGATAGGACTTTTTTCGAGTAAAAATTTAATTTGCTTGGTCTAAAGCCTTAAAAGATCTGCAAACTCCTTAAAATCATTTACAAGTTTTCCCAATAAATTTTTCTAAAATTTATCACGAATTGTAAAATTAACGTATCATATAGTAATAGTAATTTTTATACCTATTAATAAAATAGAAGCAATGTTCAGGTTAAAAATCTATATCAGTGAATATCCAGACAAATTCTAAGTTTATCTCCTAAGATGTCAGATGATATAGTATACTGCCGCGGATTTAGGTAGGTTTGTTGTCTATATTCTGTCATAGTCCCACGTTGGGGGCCATGATACGGATTTGGAGTTGACGCACCATCATGTACCCTTAACACCGATAAAATTAGAAAAAGGGTTGATGATTTTCGCACCTTCCTGTGCTATCGGCTCTAATTCTGAGCGATGAAGAGCATGCATAGTCTGATACTGTTGTCAACTTTGGTGGTAATCATGGCTTCGTAAGGAATGGCGGGGAATCTTCGAAAATGCATAAGAATTTCCATGCCTTCCTATTTCGTGCTTTGCCTGCGTTGTCAGTATCGTATGGTATGGCTAATAGTGGTGGTAGGGAATCCGGAAAATTTTCAAACTATAGAAAAATGTGTTTTCTCACCATATTCCAGTCGCCATAGTAGATAGTCTGCAGTTGTTCGTATATGGCCTATGGTTATAGAAGATTTGACGGGAGCTGCGCCTTGTATGGCTTAATAGTACAGTCATTGAAGCTATTCACCTCCGAATTCTTTGAAATTGAACCGATCGACTTGAAATTTGGCAGATAGAAAAGGTCAATGAACATTAGTGACATAGTGCCGATTGACACTCCTTCTCGGGGTGGAATTTTTTCAAAAATAACGCTGTAAATCGATATAGAATCAAATTTTGAGCAAAAAATATTCGAAGAATTTTTTCGAGAAATCAATAGTTTTTTAGTTATTCACGATTGAAAACTTTGGGTGAAAAAAAAACACTTTTTCAAAGTATTCTTCGCGAATAACTCAAAAACTACGCATTTTATTAAAAAATGTATCATGGACAAAAAAGTAGCTTATAAATCAACAAAGAAAATAGTTTTTTGAAAAGTGTTGTACGTCCTATACAAAGCGAAATATGGTTAGTGGATTTGTTTTGGGGGGAATACTCGAATCGATGTATTCAACGTCAAATTACGGAAAAAGGATTAATTTTACGTGTATTACGCTCCAGAAGTCTTTTGTAGTACTCAAAAAGACCTTCATGAGCACTTATAAAAGTTAATTAGAGAAAAATTGAAGGAGTTATCGTCAAAAACAGATGGGTTGCTCATATTTTTTAAGGAAAAATGAGCAGTAAACGCTGTACCATTTCCATCAGAATTAAAATTAATCGTAGACCCTTTACAATTAGTTTTGTTTTAGTATTTTTCATACGATTCTGAAGTTAGACCGGTTTAGAATTTTTTTTTTTAATAATGCACGGAAAAAGTTGAAAACGTATTTTTCATTATTCAAAAAAAAATTGCCTTACTTATATATATATAAAACTCTGAAACTATGAAAGATACATAAAAAATGATAGACAACAAAAATGTAGCTTTTTTTATTCCTATAGCATAAAAAATAAAGGAGATATCGCCCCTTGAAGTATCCATTTTAGTGAAAAACGACCTGTCTCGAGCCCTTTGATCCTTTCCCTTTAAAAAACGAAGGACTTAAAGGGTTTTATATGCAAACGATCTTACAGCTCTTGAAATTATCTTTAAAACGCTTTTTTATAGGATAC